AACCGCTTATATCCCATCATTCTCCCCTACCAAATGGTGGCCAAGGGGTGACTCTCTAGAGCCAGACCTCTTAGGGGTCTAGGGGAAAGTTACCTTCGTTTCCGTTTTCTCTTTCTCCTCCCAACTTCCAAATCATCTGTGTCTGTTGCACTTAGGATTTTCTTTGGAATTTTCTTGGCTATAACAGATAAGGTAACCCCATTCTCAAATTCTTTATAGTCAGCTTTTGCAAGTGCCTGCTGGGAAGAGTTAGGGGTGGTAGCTTCCTCTCTAACACACTCTTCCTCAGACTCTTCTTCCTCAACATAGTCTTCCTCAGATTCACTGTTCTTACAGGTACTGGGCTCCATCCTCTTTGATTCTAAGGGGAAAGGCATGGGAATGAAATATTTATCAGACCTCCTTCCAGGCCCAGGAAGTCCTGCAGGAATTCACCCAGAGACCCTTTATGGAGCTAGAAGAAAATGTTGCTCTTTCAGACCAATGTAGACTAGGTTGTTTCCAAGTACAGGGCTGTGGGGAGCACGGGATGTTGGTAGGATGTAAGCCCTGAACTAAAAGACCCCATCATCCAGGACTACCCCGGGCCATACGACACACTGACGTGCATGCAGAACAGAGCAGGCAGAAGCTACGACCGCGGCTGTTTTCTTTCCTGAATAGAAAGAGAGGTGGCTGACAGAACTGGAGGACTCTTAGCTTTAAAATACCCCTGATGATCAAAGGTTCTCGGGCCGGCCCTTTCCCTGAGCCAGGATTCAGTTTCCCTATGTGAACACGTCAGGGTCGGGCTCTGATAGAGGAAAGGAATCCCACGGCAGACACTGCCCACCCGAGGTTTCGAGGAGAGCTCAGGGGCTGCTGGAGCTGCCCCTAGCAGCCCAGGGTTGGACTCAGCTGGTCGCTCATGGCCGACCCTCGCCCGCTGCGGCGGCTCTTCCTGGGCGTTGCTGGACGTCGGGGACCGTCTCTTCGTTCCACAGGACTGTCTGTCCCCGCCGTCGCGAGGGGGAGCCCGCTCCCCCTCGGGGTTAACTCCTAGCTCCGAGATCCTGGCGGCGGCGGCGCCTCCTTAAGCAAGCCGACGGCCGCCGCCGCCGCCGTCGCTATGGACACGAAGGCGGACCCTATTGGAGTAGCGTTCTGGGGGCGTGGCCTTCCCGGGAACCACACCCACTCTGGTGCCAGTCGAAGCCATCTTGGCCCCGGGTTGTCTCCTTTTGCCCGGTGCAGCTGGAGGTCAGAGTGCGGAAGAGCCCGTGATCAACCAAGAGGGATTCTTCTAATGCTTTATAGGACTTGTAGTCCTCCTGCACTGGCGCGGGTGGGCGCCTTCTCCACCCACCTTTCCTGCAATCCGATGGACTAGGCAAACAAGTCTGTTATTTGGGACAAATAGCTGCTTTTGCTTCTTCTGCATTTTAGGAATGGTGCTCTGGGGCTGGAAAGGTGGCTCAGCGGTTAAGAGCACTGGCCGTTCTTGCAGAGGTCTTGAGTTCAATTCCCAGCAACCACATGGTGGCTCACAACCATCTATAATGAGAACTGTTGCCCTTACCTGGTGTGCAGGCAGAACAATGTATACACAGTAAATAAATAAAAAAGTCCCCTCCCTTGACAGGGACAGCAAGCGATTAGGACACGTGCCTTCTGAGGTTTTCACCCTGATAAACTGAAACAGTTCCATTAACGAATTACAGAATGGGGCCAGAGAGGTGGTTCAGCGGGTTAAATGTTTACTGACAGGCCCGCGGACTTGAGTTCGACCCCTGGAACCCACATGGTGGGGGGAGAGAACCAGGGCAACAGTAAACTGTCCTCCTCGACCTCTACACCCCATGCCTTGGCATGGAGCCCTCCACCATAAACAAGTTTTTACTAGAACGATGAGGAAATAGTAGTTACCTCATCCGATTGCTCTGTTGTTACCGCCTTTCTATACCTGATATTTCCCTACTGACTTCCACTAGCCTCCTCCACCAGTCCCAACCCAATTTGTGCTTTAGTTTATTTTTTTTTTGTTTGGTTGGTTTTGGTATTTTTTTTTTTTTTTTTTTTTTTTTTTTGGTTTTTTCGAGACAGGGTTTCTCTGTGGCTTTGAGCCTGTCCTGGAACTAGCGCTGTAGACCAGGCTGGTCTCGAACTCACAGAGATCCACCTGCCTCTGCCTCCCGAGTGCTGGGATTAAAGGCGTGCGCCACCACCGCCAGGCTGTTTTGGTGCTTTTTTGAGATAGGGTTTCCTCTATGAAATAGTCTTGACTGTCTTGAAACTCTCTCTAAACCAGGCTGGCTTCGAACTCACAGAGATCCGCCAGCCTCTACTTCCTGAGTGCTGGGATTAAAAGCGTGTGCTACCACTGCCTGGCTGAATTGTTTTGTGTGGCAAAATTCAGAGAACGTGTTTTGTTAAGAAAAAAAAAAAGACAAACATTCCAGATGTTACATGAATATGAGTATTTTCTGCTTACTGAAAATTTGCCAAAGTAATTGGTTGTGTGGTAATGGAGGCTTTTGCCACTTGTAATTTTTTTTTTAATTATCTTATGTGTATGAGCTTTTGCCTGCATGTATGGATCTGGACAGCATTCTTGCCTGGTGCCTGTGCAAGTCAGAAAAAGGCATCAGATCCCTTGAGACTGGAGTTACACATGGCTGTCAGCCACCGTGTGGGTGATGGGAACTGAACCTGGGTCCTCTGGAAGTGCAATAAGTGCTCTTAACTAGTGAGTTGTTTCTCCAGCATTTATTAAACAATTATTTTATGTGTATGTCTGTGTGCTTGAGTGCGTATCTGTGAGAGGCCAGGAAAGGGTGGTGAATCCTCTGTAACTGGAATTATAGATGGTTGTGAGCTGCCACGTGGGTGCTGGGAGTCATATCCAGGTACTCTGGAAGAGCAGCCAGTGTTCTTAACAACTGATCCATTTCTCCAGCCCCTTCTTTCATTCTTTTAAAAATTTACTTATTCCAGGACAGGCTCCAAAACCACAGAGAAACTATGCCTCAAAAAACCAAAAAAAAAAAAAATTATTTTATTTGTATGGGTGTTTTGCATGCATTTATATATGTGTGTCACATGCATGCAATGCCCTCAGAGGCCATTGTCAGTCCTCTAGAAATGGCGCTACATATGGTTGATAGTTGCCATGTGGGTGCTTGGAACCAACGCTGGTTCTCTACAAAAGATACGAGCGCTCCTAACTGCTGAGCCATCTTTCCAGCCCTGAGCCATCTCTAGACTCTCATTATTTTATTCTTTTTTTTAAAAATATTTATTTATAATGTATACAATATTCTGTCTGTAAGCCTGCAGGCCAGAAGAGGGCACTAGGTATCATTACAGATGGTTGTGAGCCACCATGTGGTTGCTGGGACTTGAACTCAGGACCTTTGGAAGAGCAGGCAATGCTCTTAACCTCTGAGCCATCTCTCCAGCCCCCTCATTCTTTTATTCTTAAAATCAGTATTCTATGTGATTAAAAAAAAGTATTATTCTAGCCAGGTGGTGGTGGCAGCGCCTTTAATCCCAGCACTTGGAAGGCAGAGACAGGCAGATTTCTGAGTTTGAGAACAGCCTGGTCCACAGAGTGAGTTCCAGAACAGCCAGAGCTGTTAGACAGAGAAACCTTCTCCTGGAAAAACAAACAAATAAAAAACTCCCAAAAAGGAGATTATATTAAAAAAAAAAAAAAATCTCTTGATCTTTTTACTCCTTAAAGGGGTTTCAAGTAAGTAAACAAGCAAGCATTATAAGTGCAAGAAAAATTACCCTGACATCTAAAATGTAAACAAATATTTTGTCATAAACAGGTCAAGTCAATACATATTTATTTTGAAACTTGTATCATCAAACCCTTCCTTAAATTTAAGATGTTGTTGAATGACATTTTTGAGGAAGAGTTCATAACTTAGATGGAATTCTGTAAGGTACATATGCTCAGTGTACAATCTTTTAAATTGTATACCTATAACAAGAGAATGAAAAGTGTGTTTTTAGGGGCTGGAGAGATGGCACAGAGGTTAAGAGCACTGGCTGCTCTTCCAGAGGTCCTGAGTTCAATTCCCAGCAACCACATGGTGGCTCACAGCCCTCTTCTGGTACCCTCTTCTGGCCTGTAAGCATATATATAGACAGAACATTGTATACATAATAAATAAATCTTTTTTTTTAAAAAATATTTATTTATTTATTATGTATACAATATTCTGTCTGTGTGTGTTCCTGCAGGCCAGGAGAGGGCACCAAACCTCATTACAGATGGTTGTGAGCCACCATGTGGTTGCTGGGAATTGAACTCAGGACCTTTAGAAGAGCAGGCAATGCTCTTAACCGCTGAGCCATCTCTCCAGCCCTAAATAAATCTTTTTTAAAAAGTGTGTATTTAGGCATTGATGTACCCTTGTCAAAGTTTTTTCTGTGCTTCTCAAGATGATTGTAACTGACCCTGAAAAGTGATGTAATTTGGTAATAACTTCACAATTCAAATCAAGGAATTTGCATAAAAAGGGCAGGGGTGTAAACAGGCTTTTCTGTCCTACGGGTTCCATAGTCCCTTTTAAAATAACCATTCAGAGGCTTAATATATAATTAGAAACAATTTAGCCTATTACTAACTAGCTCTGTTTGGATTTCTCACCTGGCTATATCCTGCCTTGCTATAGGCCAAAACAGCTTCTTTATTAACAAATGGTAATAAAATATTCACAGCATACAGAGGGGTTATCCCACACACAGCACAGGGCTTCCAGATGGCTCGGCAGGTAAAGGAATTCAAGATTGATGACCTGAGTTAGAGAGTCCTCAAAGTAAGAGAAAGACTGACTTCCCAAAACTTACCCACTGATCTAGACAGACACACACAGATACAAAATAAATTAATAAATGTAATTTTAAAGTGAAGACTTGGGGTTGGGATGTAGATCAGCTGGGTAGACTAATGGCCTAACGTGCACAAAGCCCTGGGTTGATCTCCAGCACCCCATAAAAGAGACGTGGTGGTGTTGTTTGAAAGGAGAGAAGGTTAGCACTCCCCTTGCCGAGGATGGAAGAGGCCCTTGGGCCTAATAACATGCATATGGTTAAGTTTAAAAAAAAAAAAAAAAGGCAGACATGGTGGCTTTCACTTGTGATCCCAGCACTTGGGAGGTGGTGGCAGGAGATTCAAAAGTTCAAGGTCATCCTGAGAAACAAAGTGTAAGCTAGAATTCCTAAAAAAAAAAAAGGCCAGTTTTTTTTTTGTAGCACTCATATTTAATCCCAGCTTTCAGAGGGAGAGGCAGACAGATCTCATGAAGAGTTCAAGCCCAGCTTGGTCTACATATTAAGTTCCAGGACAGTCAGGGCTATGTAGACAAATCCTGTATCAAAAAACAGACAAACAAAAAATTAGATTTCCTGAGAAGTAAGCCCTGTCTTCAAAGACTTTTTCCATCTCCATTGGAATGTTGGTTGGCTTGACTTGATCTTGTTCAAGTCTTGCGCAAGGATATTAGTCCGGGTTCTCTAAGGGAACAAAGCTTTGTTTATATATATTCTCTCTATATGTGTAGAAGGTTGTCTCACCCGGGAGAACCCAAGAATCCAGCTGTTGTGCAGCCTGCAAGGCAGCATGTCTCAGCAGTCCCTTCCTGGCCTTGGAGGCCTCAAGGATTCTTGGAGAGCTTCGGGTTTTCAGTCTATGTTGGGATCTCAAAGAAGTTGGTCCTAATATTTATGGATGTTTTTGTTTTGAGACAAGGTTTTCCTATGTTGCCCTGGCAAACCTGGAACTCACTATGTAAACCAAGATGACCTCAAACCCATAAATACTCTGCCTCCTCAGTGATGTGATTAAAGGCATTATGCCACCTTGCCGGGATGGGTGTTTTTTGTTTTGTAGCTGGGGTCTCCTCATGTAGCCCTGGATACCTTCCAAGTTCCAGAGGTCTGCTTCCTGAGCCTGGCTCAGCCATCACTCTTAACATCTGAACCATCTCTCCATCCCCTTTGTTTTTACAAAACAGGGGTCATGCTTGTACCTCAAGCTGGCCTGGAATTTGTGGCAGTCTCCTGCCCTAGCCTCCCAAATGCTAGGATTACAGGTGTGTGCCATCACACCTAACTCAGCTTTAATCCCAGCACTCGGGAGGCAGAGGCAGGTGGATCTCTGTGAGTTCAAGATCAGCCTGGTCTACAAAGCTAGTTCCAGGACAGACTCCAAAGCCACAGAGAAACCCTGTCTCAGAAAAACAAAACAGGGAGACAGAGGCAGGCGGATCTCTGTGAGTTCGAGACCAGCCTGGTCTACAAGAGCTAGTTCCAGGACAGGTTCCAAAACCACAGAGAAACCCTGTCTCGAAAAACCAAAAAAAAAANAAAAAAAAAAAAAAAAAAAAAAAAAAAAAAAAAAAAAAAAAAAAACAAAACAAACAAACAAAAAAAAACCCAACAACTTCCCAGACTGACTCAACCACAGGTAGGGTACAGGGGCTTAGCTGTTGAAAGATTCCAGGAGGGCCATCAACTTTGAAAGACAGCACTACCATCATGGAAGCTGCTGACTGGATAGACCCTCTCAACTATGCATTGTATCAGCGTTAGTTAAGTCCTGGCCTCTCAAGTCAAGGCCTGTGCTTCGGCCTTGACTCTGCTAATAGCTGCTTGACCTAAGAAAGTGACTGTGTCAACAACCATTTCTTCACCTGCTAAGTGGAAGCAGTAAAAGGACCATCACTTCTTTAAAAAATTAAGCCAGGATATGCTTTAGTCCTAGCATGCAGGAGCAGAGGCAGTCAGATCTCTGTGAGTTGGTGGCCAGTCAAAGCTACACAGTGAGACCCTGTCTCAAAACAAACAGAGCCGGGCGGTGGTGGTGCCCGCCTTTAATCTCAGCACTTGGGAGGCAGAGGCAGGTGGATCTCAGTGAGTTCGAGGCCAGCCTGGTCTACAAAACGAGTTCCAGGACAGCCAGGACTGTTACACAGAGAAACCATGTCTCGAAATAAAACAAAAACAAAAGTAAAAGCAAAACAACAAAAAAACCCAAAGAGAAAACTTGTTAGGTTTGTTCAGTGCCCATGTGGGAAGTCAGAGAAACTTGCAGGTGCTGGTTCTCCTTGAACGAAGTGTGTCCCAGGGATGAAGCTCCTGTCCTTGTGCTTGATGCCAAGTACCTTCAGCCCTGAGCTCTCTTGCTGGCCTATGACCAGCATTAAAAAACATTTAAGGCAGAGTTGGTATGTGATCTAGGCTGCCTTTGAGCTCACTAGTCAACCCTGTTATTGGGGGCTAGAAGAAAATCTAGGATGGATTTTCAGAGAGACGGGGAGTTGAGCATCTGAATGAAGCAGTGCTGAGTGCAGGGGAGAGGCAAAGCCAGCCACAGGCAAAGCTGGAATCCAGGCGATTCAGGGACTAAGGTGGGGAGTTAGTTCTTTGAGGAGTTTGAGACTAGCCTGGGCAACAGAGCAGACTCCATTTATTAAGGAAAAAAAAAAGGCAGTCAGTGGTGGGGAAAGGGCAGGAGCAAAGGTCAGATAAGGAAACGGTAGCTGGGTGCATCCATAACCCACCAAAACAGAGGCCAGTGACTCTCACCAAAAGACAAAGTCCAGATAGCAGCCAGGAATGGGAAACTCACACCTCCTAATTTAATTAGGAGACCTCCACCTGAAAAAGGGTTTCTTTGTGTAGCCTGGACTGCCTTGAACTTGATCTGTAGGTCACACTATCCTGGAATTGATGGAGATCTCCCTGCCTCTGCTGCCCCCACCCCCACCCCAGGCTGGGATTGAAGGTATGTATCACCACCACCTGGCACATTTACTTTATTTGAGATACATTTACTTTTATCTGTGTGTACATGTATGTGTGTGTATGCCATGGTGTGTGTGTGGAAGTCAGAGGGCAACCTGGACCACATGGGCACTGGAGGTTGAACTCAGGTCTACAGGCTTGGCAGCAAGCACTCTTCCCCCAGGGAGTGATCTATCTGGCCCTCAATGGTAGAGTGGTTACCCCTGGGGCTTGTCTAAGGGAGGGGAGAAGCAGCTGGAACATTCCTGGGACTATATCCATTCTTTATACTCAGTCCTTGAGTTGAGCAGTGGGAAGGCCGTCATACAAGAGATGCCCAAATACCAGTGATTAGCAGCCTTTGGAAAGGGCCTCGAATCAAGAAAGAAGAAACTCCTGAAGAATCACAGCTCTTCCTGGGCCATCAGGGCCACAAGCGCTGCCTGCACCTCCTCTGCCTGAGCTTGGGGCAGCAGACAGTCCTGAATGAGGGCCACCGCAGCTGCCTCTGTCAAGCTGCCAAAGTCCTGGGATGTCTTAACAGGTAGGTGGCCAGCCAGCTCACAGAGTGCAACATTGAAAGCCCCACTTTCCTTGATTCCAAAGCTGGATTTCCGGGCCCACAGGATGACTCGGAGCCCAGTGAGGCCTGCGGAAGATGATGCTGGCCCGGGTGGAGTGCCCCGGGTCACAAATAAATTATGTGCAATCTCATGGTTACTCAGATAGTCAGTGGCCCGGCATACCCTGCGAATTAAGCCTTCCATGTCAGGCCCTGGCCCACTAGTGTAGAAGAGGAAGCCAGGGGCTGGGAGGGCCTGCAGCAGATGGATATAGCCCTTTGGGTCTAGAGGTGTGCTTGGGGCGCCCTCCACAGGCAGTGGGTGGGCCAGGTAGTACCCATGCAGGTGGAGATGGTTCACAGAGGCCAAACCTCCCAGGCTGTTGAAGCCGACCCGGAAGCCTGGGTGCAAACTCAGTAGCACAGCTTCAAGCCCCGCCCGCAGTGTCCCAGGCAGCAGGCGCTGGGGGAGCCCAAGAGCAGGCTCAGGCACCAGCAGCACGTGCCCCCACTCCAGGGGGCTAACATTGATCAGCACAAGGATGTCCTCTTGCTTTGGGCCATCGGGCTCCCGTCGTCGCAAACGGAAAAGGACTTCTCCAGGTCGGATTTTATTGAAGTTAAACTGTTCGGGATCAAACTCCTGCCTCACACTTTGGATATTCTGGGGTGGCCTCCTCTGTATTCCTCGTTCTACATTCAGCTGAGCTACAAAGCCCACGGAACCAGGGAGGATTTGGGTCTGCAGATCTTCCAGGCGGTATCGAAAGAGGCCCAGCTCCACTCGCTGCTTCCATGCAGAACAGAGAGCAGAGTCAAAGCGGGACCGTGGCAGTGAGTCCAGGGCGAGGCCTGCATTCCCTGGCCATTGGATTCCCTTCCCGACGAGGTCTTTCTGTCCATAGACAAAGTCCGGGATGCCTTGCTCCTCCCAGACCTCAGGCTTCAGAGGGAGCAGATAGGAAGTTTCCTGTGAATCCTGTGAACCATCTGGAGCAGCCATGAAGCTACCTGAAACAGAGATGAAACGTACATAAATAAGAGACAGCCCGTTTCCAGAGGTTTTTTTTTTTTTTCGAGACAGGGTTTCTCTGTAGCTTTGGTGCCTGTCCCTGAACTAGCTCTTGTAGACCAGGCTGGCCTCAAACTCACAGAGATGCACCTGCCTCTGCCTCTGGAGTGCTGGGATTAAAGGTGTGCACCACCACAGCCTGGCTGCTTTTGATTTTTTTTAACAACAAAAAAACCTGCACCACCACAGCCCAGCTCAGAGATTATTATTATTTATTTTTAAAATATTTATTTATGTATTATGTATGCAATATTCTGTCTGTATGCCTGAAGGCCAGAAGAGGGCGCCAGACCTCTTTACAGATGGTTGTGAGCCACCATGTGGTTGCTGGGAATTGAACTCAGGACCTTTGGAAGAGCAGGCAATGCTCTTAACCATTGAGCCATCTCTCCAGCCCCTATTTATTGTTTTATATTTATTTTATCTTTTTTTTTTTTTTTGAGACAGGGTTTCTCTGTGTAGAGTTTCTCTGGCTGTCCTCGAACTGGCAGATAGATCCATCTACCTCTCCCTCCTGAGTACTGGGATCACCACCACAGCCCGGCCAGAGATTATTTTTGAATCATGTTTTTACTCTAATTCTAAAACTGAGAAAATTGATTAAGTCAAGGATTTGCCGTGCATAGGCGAAAAGATACCAAACCAGTCAGCACATGAATGAAGATAATGTGAAATTCAAGGTTCAATGCTGTAGGATTTCACCCTGGTCAGCACTGATGAGCAGAAGGTAAAGAAGCAGAAACTTAGAAGCAAAGGAGCTGAAATGAACCAGACCCCTCATTTGGACTGTTTTTAAAATCCTGAAAAATCAAATAAAACAAAAGAAAAATAAAAGCAAGAGATAATGTGACCTTGGCAAAATATTTAGAAAGCATAGACATTGTTCATAATCCTATAATCTGCAAATGAGGGTGCTTTTACTGAATTAAAAATATAGCCAGGCATAGTGGTGCACCCAGCACTCGGGAGGCACAGGCAGGTGGATCTTTTGAGTTCAAGGACAGCCTGGTCTACAAAGTGAGTTCCAGAAGAGCCAGAGACACACAGAGAAACCCTGTCTTGAAAATCAAACATGTGTGTGTGTAATAAAAATATATTTTGAGCTAGGTTTGGTGGCACATTTCTTTAATCTCAGTTCTTGAGAAGCAGAGGCAGTTGTTTTTACTGTTTGGTTGTTTTTGTTTTTGAATCTGGAGATGATGGCAAACACTCTGATCTCAGCACTTAGGATGCAGAGGCAGAAGGATCTCTGTGAGTTCAGAGACGAGCCTGTATAGCATGGCTACTTGAGAGACCCTGTCTCAAAATCAGTCAATCAATTAAAATAAATTTAAACACAGAGGGAAAAGGAACTCTCAAAACAAATAAAGGTGTGTGTGTGTGGGGGGGGGTGTTGGAGAGATGGCTCAGCAGTTAAGAGCACTGAACTCTTAACTCTTCCAGAGGTCCTGAATTCAATTCCCTACAGCTATATGGTGGCTCACAACCATTTGTAATGAGATCTGGCGCCCTCTTCTGGTCTGAAGGCATGCATGCAGACAGAACATTATATAATAAATCTTTAAGATAAATAAATAAAGGTGGAAGGGCTGGCAAGAAGGCTCACTGTGTAAAGGTGCTTGATGGATATATAGTAAACAGGGCTTTAGTAGACTGTTTTACTTGATACTGCCTAGGCAGGCCAACAATGGTAGTTGCTCAGTCCACAAGGATGGGTGTTTCAGCAATCCCAATCCGGTGCTGAAGGCCTGGAGGGTTCCTGGATAGCTATTGGGCGTTAGTCTGAGTTGGAAGCTGGAAGAGGCTGGTTCTAATGTTAGCAAATGAACTCCACAGTGCAGTAACCGGATGGACGACTTATCAGCAAGCGAAGGCAAACGGGCCACAAGCAGTTTCCTTCTTCCATTTCCCTTTTGTACGGGCTACTACCCGAAGGCAGTGTGCACATTCCCACTTCAAATAATCTGACCAAGGAAATCCCACAGGAGTGCTCAGCAGTTTTGCCTTCTCCTTGATTCCAGATCCAATCGATTGACCACCAACATTAACTGTCACAGAATCCACCTTTCCCTCCTCTTCCCTGTAGCTTGGAATCCCCACTTTTCCACGCAGTGTAAGTTTGTCCATTCGTACGTGCATCTGGTAATTATCTGAATGTCCTGGCGGTTAGGAGAAGGGAGCAAATAGGTAGACCAATCTTGGTTTCTACGGCGGGAAGCTTGAACTTTGCGGAAGGGGTCAAAGGAAGCCGGATAGCTATGACGATAAAGGCAGTGGGGATCTGTGGACAGGACCGATCTCTAAAAATCCCGAATCCTGAAACATCACTGAAACTGAATCTGTTTTGTAAAATGGAAGCCTACCTTGTCAACTGTTCCACGAATGGGCGATAACTGCACAATCAGTTTCAGGAGGCAGCAGGGAGGTAAGCTACTTCTGGAAGAGTCGGCAAGGTGGCGGGGGCTGCAGCTCGTATCCAGGAAGACAGTCTGGGACTGTCCCTCTCGGCAGAGGGGCACTGGATCTCCTCCGCGGAGGTTACCTGCTCCACCCAGGACAGAGGTCTCCAACACCTGCTTTAGGCGAGGCGGATGCATCTCCAGGTTCTGCGCGGAGAACGCAACGAGGGACGTAGTAGCCCCGACGCAAGCGCAGTTTGCACCACGTGCGAGCGGCGCGCTCTGTCCCGCCCACCAGGAGGCGGGGCCATGAAGCCTGGGCTCCGCCCAGGCGCGTCCGGCTCCTCCCCCGGGCCCTGCCTCCCGCTCTCCTGGGCCCGCGGGGAGCCGGGATCGGAGCGGCTGAGCCGTGCGGAGGGTGCCAGGGCACTGGACGCAGGGGCGGGCCCGGGGGCGGAGGCCAAGCAGCGGTTGCTGTGGGGACGGGACGGGGCGGGGCGGGGACGCGGCCCGAGGACGGAAGTGAGAAAGTTGCCGGAGTCCCGGGGAGAGTTGGTGAAGCTGTGCGCGCACCGCGGCGATGGGAGGCTCGGGCAGTCGCCTGTCCAAGGAGCTGCTGGCCGAGTACCAGGTGCGCGGGGCATCAATTCTCGCGGAGCTCGCGTGCGGGCCCGCGCCGGGGAGTGGGGTTCGGGAGCCGGCGGCGGGGCAGCCTTGGCTTTCCGGCGGCTTGCTGACCCTTGTCTGGATTTGCCTTTCAGGACCTGACGTTCCTGACCAAGCAGGAGATCCTTCTGTGAGTGCTGTCCCAATCCCTGCCCTCCACCGCGGGATTGCCAAGGGAGGGGGGCTTTGGGGGTGCTGTCCTAGCGGGGGCTTGACTGGACACCTCTCCTCCGAGGGTGGGGCCGGGTTTCACGGAAATCAAGATCAGCGGATATAGGGAGGCCCAGAGTGCAAGTCTTGCCCGCGCCGGGATCTCAGCTTTGCACCACGCATACACTCTGTGTATCCAGGAAAAGGTGGGCTGTTTGAGCCCCGCTGGCCTCCTCACTGCTGAGCTTCCTGTTAGCTTCTGGAGCAGCTGTGGCTCTGTGCGGACTTTGCCCTCTGGCAAAAGCAAGAAGCCTTGAGGAGCTGGCTCACCCTTCTCCCAGCTTTACCTGTTTAAAATACAGTAACCAACCGTTAACGTTTACTGAGCCCAGGAGCCACTGAGTGATTCCCACATTACTTAAATCTTCAGGAGGTGCTTACAGAACAAGGAAACAGGTTCAGAGGTTTCTGGTAACTTGCTTATAAAGCTCATTGTAAGTGCTTTAATGGCCAGGACGCTTGACCTAGGGAGGTTCCTGGTCTCCTCAAAGAAATTCCACTGGGAAAGAGGTGGTAGGTGAGAGAAGGGGGTCCCTGGAATGAAAGTGACATCGTATGTTTTTGCTCTTTCCTCCCCGTTGTTTAGGGCCCCTTACAGCTCCGTCCCTAACCTCTTCATTCTTTAGGAATCTTTGAAATTGTTGCTGCCATTGTTAGGGTCCAGGACCTTGTTCTCCAGGAACCTTTCATAAGAGAATGGAGCGGAGACTGATGGAGAGACCACATCCTAACCAGACTGCTTAGTGTCACATGCCTTATGCCCTAATTTAAATATAAGTCTCACATCAGCCAGACATGAAGGTTCCTGGAAAGGTGACAAGTCACTGGAACTGTGTGACACCCATCCCCGTTGACTGTTCCTCCTTGGCTGACACCAGGCTTCATCCTTCTCACATGAGATTCCTGGGGAGTTCCCGTATCTTGGGGACAACTGGTTCTGTAGCCTGACAGCCGAAGGGAACGGCACGGGTATCTCTAGATTATACAGAGTGCCTGGTATAGTGTCCGCAGACACACATGCCTCTCCTCCATAAATACCCACCCTAAGAAGGGACTCCAGGCCTCTGCTATTTTGTGACTGACTTCTGTCTGGCTGAAGGTTACCCAGTGACAGTCCCGGTCATGTGACTTACTAATACACCTGATTTCAGAATGCAGAATGGGAATGTCAGAAACCCAGGGAGCCGGGTTGCTTGAAGGCACCAGTAAGTTCCCCTCTCTCTGCCAGAGCCCACAGGCGGTTTTGTGAGTTGCTTCCCCCGGAGCATCGGAGCGTGGAAGAGTCACTGCACACCCGAGTGTCATTCGAGCAGATTCTCAGCCTTCCAGAACTCAAGGTTCAGTCCTTTCTCCACTCTCTCCTCTCCTCTCCTCTCCTCTCCTCTCCTCTCCTCTCCTCTCCTCTCCTCTCCTCTTCCCACGTCATCCATCCTGTCTCTGCTACGTTACTTAACTCTTCCTACCATTCTGATTGGGAGCACATGCCACCACACCCTGGGTTCATTTTGATGATAGTACGTAATTGTTTGTATGTGCCCATGTACACACGTAAGTGCCAGTGCCCACAGAGTACAGAAGGCGTTGGATCCCCTGGTGCTGGAGTGACAGTAGGCAGTTGTGAGCTGCCCATCATGGGTGCTGGGAACTGGATTAGGGTCCTCTGCAAGAGCAGCACAGGCTTTTAACCGCTGAGTCATCTCTCCAGCCCACTCCTCTCTTTTTAAAAACAGAAGTTTTGGGGATTGAATGCATGTCTTTATGTTTACATGGCAAGCACTTTACTGACTGGACTAATCCATCACTTCTTTTTTCTGACAGGGGGTTTTACTATGTAGCCTTGGCTGGCCTTGAACTTGCTTCTATCCTCCTTTCCCTGCCTTCTGAGCACTGAGATTAAAGACATCACCATGCCCAGCCTGCTGTGAATAAAAATAATTAGGGTTGTTGTTGTTGTTATTATTAGAGACAAGGTCTCACGGTGAAGTCCTAGCTAGCCTGGCTGGAACTCGCTATGTAAACCAGGCTATCCTTGAACTCTTAAGAGAGATTCACCTGCCTTGGCACAGAATTAAACGCACACACCATAAGACCTGTCTGTTATGACATTTCTATGCAAAGAGCCTGGCTCTGTAACAAAATAATTGTTCAATTAAATATATTTCAAAATGACCAGCGTAGTCCAGCTGGAGGGTACTTGCTTCAAGTAGCTTAGAGGCTAAAAACACTTGCCTTGTAAGCCCAAGGACCTAGGCTTGACCTCTGGAACCCATGGTGGAAGAGAAATGACTACAGAAAGTTACCCTTTGACTTCCACACGTGTATGGTGGCATGTGCTCACATGTGCGCTTACAGTTATAAGCGGCTTGTCTTGTTGCTTTGCCTTGCTTTCCTTTTCCTGCTGACTCCAGTGGTGATGTGCCTCAGTTAAGACTCCCAGGGACCATCTCTGCCCCTTTCCTGCTGACTCCAGTGGTGATGTGCCTCAGTTAAGACTCCCAGGGACCATCTCTGCCCCTTTCCTGGCTGGCTTAGTGGTCCCTCCTGAGCCCTCCATGTCCGACCTTCAGAGGTTCTCCCCTTCGAGCCTGAACTCCATGAAGTGCCACCACTGTCATCAGCTTCCTCAGGTTCCCAAAAGGGACTCAGTCATAGTGGCACATGCCTGTAATCCAGCACTTGGGAGGTAGAGACAGGAGGATCAGCCTGAATTTGTCAGACCCTCCCTCAAGTTTCTGGCTGAGTTGGCTGAGCATGTCACCCAGGCAGTGCCCTGGGACATTCACGGAAGGCTTTCTTACCCAGGCCAACCCCTTCAAGGAGCGAATCTGCATGGTCTTCTCGACGTCCCCGACCAGAGACAGCCTGAGCTTCGAGGACTTCCTGGACCTCCTGAGTGTCTTCAGTGACACAGCAACCCCAGACATCAAGTCCCACTATGCCTTCCGCATCTTTGGTAAGCACCGTAAGCAGGACCCCATTCCTTTCCACACAGGAAGTGGGGGCCAGGTGTGTGCCTGCAGAACACGTCTTGCGCATGTCCTTATTGCTCCCTGTGTCTGCCGCCTAGACTTTGATGACGACGGAACCCTGGACAGAGAGGACCTGAGTCGGCTTGTGAACTGCCTCACGGGAGAGGGCGAGGACACACGGCTCACTGCTTCTGAGATGAAGCAGCTCATTGATAATGTGAGCTGACTGTGCCTGCTGGGCCTGGGGTGTCGGGTGGAAAGGGTTGGGGCTGAAGCCTAAAGCCCTCCCTTCTCCAGATCCTGGAAGAGTCAGACATCGACAGGGATGGGACCATCAATCTCTCGGAGTTCCAGCATGTCATTTCCCGCTCACCAGACTTTGCCAGGTGTGACAGGAGCTCCCCTGCATTCTGAGTACCCACTCACTCTGGGATAGTATGACAGGGATGTTTAAGGATGTCTTCCAGAGGGGACACACTAGGGACCTAGCCCATTCCAGTTTTTGTTTGTTTGTTTTGAGACAGGGTCTCATGTGGCTCAGGCTGACCTTAAACTCCACATGCCTCTGCCTCCCTCGTACTAGTACGAGGCCTGGCTCTGCCTCCCGAGTGCTGGGATTAAAGGCGTGCGCCACCACCGCCCGGCTCAAACAAGAATCTTAAACTGTGGCAGTGCAGGTCTATAATCCCAGCACACATCCGAGGCCGGCTTGGTGTACACAGGGAATTCCAGGTCAGCTAGGGCTTGTTTAGTCATGGGAGAGAGGTGGGTATGATCAGTAAGGTCTGCACCACTTTCTACCAGAGAACCAAACACGGGCTAGGGTATAGCTCAGTGGTAGAGTTTATATGTGTAGCCCTGTGTCAGGCTCTGGGTTTGATCCCCAGCACCAAACCCAACTCACTCCTTCCTCCTGCAGCTCCTTTAAGATCGTCCTGTGATGGCTTCTGAGCACCAGCATCCTGTCCAAGACCTTTCCACTGCTGAGATGTGGCCAAGGTCACGCCTGTGTGTCAGGGCCAGTGCCGGCCCGGCCTGGAGAGGGCATTGCAGCATGGCCCCTGGTAGGGGAG